AAGAGACCGGATCAGTCAGGAGGACCTCATTTCCAGCCCCATTTCAATGTCTTAGGCAAACAAGCAACGCGACCAAATTGGTCAGGAGGCCAACCCCATTTCTTCGTTTTAAGCAAACACGCAAAGCGACGGGATCAGTCAGGAGGACCTCATCTCCAACCCCATTACAATGTCCTAGACAAACAAGCAAAGCGACTGAATCAGTCAGGAGGATCTCATCTTCATCCCCATTTCAATGCCTTAGGCAAACGAGCAAAGCGACCGGATTAGTCAGGAGGACCTCATCTCGAACCCCATTTCAATATCTTAGGCAAACAAGCAAAGCAACCAGACCAGTCAGGAGGACCTCATCTCCTGCCTCATTTCAATATCATAGGCAGACGAGCAAAGCGACCGGATTAGTCAGGAGGACCTTATCTCCATCCTCATTTCAATATCTTAGGCAAACAAGCAAAGCGACGGGATCAGTCAGGAGGACCTTATCTCCAACCCCATTACAATGTCTTAGGCAAACAAGCAAAACGATTGGATCAGTCAGGATGATCTCATCTCCATCCTCATGTCAATGCCTTAAGCAAACGAGCAAAGCGACCGGATTAGTCAGGAGGGCCTCATCTCGAACCCCATTTCAATATATCTTAGGCAAACAAGCAAAGAGACCGCATCGGTCAAGAGGACCTCATCTCCAGCCCCATTTCAATATCTTAGGCAGACGAGCAAAGCGACCGGATCCATCAGGAGGACCTCATCTCCATCCTCATTTCAATGTCTTAGGCAAACGAGCAAAGCGTGGATCAATCAGGAGGACATCATCTCCAACCCCATTTCAATGTCTTAGGCAAACAAGCAAACCGACTGGATCAGTCAGGAGGACCTCATCTCCAGCCCCATTTCAATGTCTTAGGCAAACAAGGAAAGCGACCAGATTAGTCAAGAGGAATTAATCTCAAGCCTCGTTTCGATGTCTTAGGCAAACAAGCAAAGCGACCGGATCAATGAGGAGGAGCTCATCTCCAACCCCATTTCAATGTCTTAGGCAAAGACGCAAAGCGACCGGATCAATGAGGAGGGCCTCATCTCTAGCCCCATTTCAATGTTTTAGGTAAACAAGCAAAGCGACCGGATCAGTCAGGAGGACTTCATGTCCAACCCCATTTCCATGTCTTACGCAAACGAGCAAAGCAAACGGATCAGTCAACAAAACCTTATTTTCAGCCCCATTCAAATCATCGCAAGTAAACATCATAGATTCCATTTCAAGCAAAATGAAATTAAACAATCATACTAAATTTTCTCTGATTCCGTTGAAGTCATGAATTAAAGTCAAGGAAATATACAAAAAACCAAAACTTAGTCAAACTGAATGAAGGGTGATATAGATAAGGGCATGTGGTATCCTAAGCGAGATCGCGTCGGCCTACCTTAAAGTCCCATGCCTCCACGGTCCCGCCTGAACCCCGACAGAGCTCCTGCAATCGGTGGGGCAAACCTCCCACAGAGGCCTTAGCACGGATTATGAGTTTCAATCCTGCCTCGCGCCTTCCTCTTTGAACCAAAAGACTAGACTTAGTGTAAGAAAGGCAGAAGAGGAAAAGTCAAGTCACTCAGATCCAGGAGAGGTGCTCCCAGACTCGCGTGAGAGGGCCTCGATACCTTGACATGCCTGAGGGCCCCGCAATGGTAGCCAAGAATGCAGCAAGAACAACTGAATCGCAGTCAAGCGTAACGAAGATGGCCGAAAAATATAACCAACAAGCGGAATAACTCCTCTCAGACGATCCCCCAAGTTGCAACAATAACCCTTTTCGACTGCTTGATCACTCCCCCACGTTGCAGCCTCTAATAAGAACGCCGCTACACAATCTAGGAAGGTTGCGCTCAGATGGAACTCAACCCCACTCTCTAACGACCAGCCCGCCCGTACCTCACAGGCAAGCTATCTCTTCTACTTCAAGCCTCATTGCAACCCTCTTTGATTCGAGCGCTTGCACCTTACTGGACCTATTAAGGTTAGCAAGACAACCCCACTCATACCTATTAAACAACAGGTGATGATCCCACACCTCTCTCAGTATGGTGGCCCTACCTAGCAAGAGTCTGGCCTAGGTCGTCACTCTAGACCCACCCTGCCTAAGCAGTAGTTGCCCTACTTCGCCATCAATGTTCAAGCAAGGGAACAAACCATTTCCTCCTCTTTTACCTGATAATGTCGTTACTTTCCTATTCAAAGGAAAGATAACAGCACCCCACAATGGACACGGAACATAGTTTCGACGTGGGTCTCACTATCATTCTCAAGACTCGTAACTGCTTCCTTAAGCCTCAACGAGGGAGTAACAATTCAAGAGTGCACTTCCACTGAGAACAACTATACAATTTGACCAACTTCCTTTGGGAAGAACCACCTTCCACAAAAAACGAGTCACCCCATTCACCTTCGGTCCCATGCCAGACGTGGGTTTCATGCAAAGTCTATGTCCTCTTGGAAGGCAATCCATACACCATCAATCAGGCATCAAACAAAATATGCGAGGCCACTGCCTCTATGAGCCCCTTTCGGCAGTCCGTCAGCCGCCCTAAGTGAAGGCAGGCTCGAAGAGGCCTTCAGGGCCTTATTTCGGCCTCTGCACAACTAAGGAAATTCAGGCAGTTGCACAGCGCCAGTTGGTTGAGGAAACCCAGGCCCTGGACCGCCTGTGTGAATGAATGGAAAGCAGGCCCTGGGCTGGATACGGGTACTGGGCCAAACACATGCCAAAGGCAGTTGGGCACATGCAACTACCGCAGGCCCCAGGCCTGTTCTCCATCGTGCTGGGCCTCAGGATATCGGGGCCTACTAGAAGCTTCCTGGGACTGGACGCAGGTAGGCCACTTCGATATCGCAAAGGGCCTGCCTCCTCATTCGGTATTCGGGTGCTGGCTGCATGTTGCGCAAGCGCTGCTGCGTTATTTGCTGGCTGGCGCCCACGCGCTCACGGGCGAGCAGGGAAGGAGCAGGCAGCCATAGCCGAGCTGCGCTGCTGTGAGCCGGGTGTGGCGCAGCGTGGTCCTTGGGTGCAAGTGGCATCTGTATGTTGGGGAACGAGGTTGTGAGTAAGGCGAGAGACATACCTGGTGCTGGAAGCGTGCGACATTGGTCGTTGTATGCTCATACTTCAGGAGAGTTGTTGTCGTCAACTTCGGCATTATAGTATAGGCTAGATAGGATCTCCCGCATGTAGTATGGGCGCCGAGCGCCAGATAGGATATCAACTCTGGTTCTTCGTTGATAATGATGATGGGACTATTTCAACATTGTCAATTATGAACTCTAGGTGTGCTCTTATTTGGTGAAACTCGTGATGCAATTCTGTTGTTGGTTCGAGGTCACTACTATCTGGACTCATATGTATGATGTTGTTTGATTGCTGAAGTTCGCTATTGCTTATCTTCCTTGCAATTTGGTTTCGGAGTTGTGGTACGATTGCGCTCATCTGGCGCTTGTCTTCTGCCTTATGTGGTACATACATGCGGTCTGCTTGGCGAGTTGGCCGTAAATGGTGTGTAGTGAGGAGGGTGGAGACGAGTGATAGGCGACCCAGGAGGTGAGGGGATCGCCAGGAAGGCTATGAGGTGTAATGTGGTCTGGACAATGTGATGAGAACTATCTAATGTGCGATTGATGCTGAAGTGGAACGGCAAGATAATGCTGGTTGTGCCGATGCAGTGCCTGGTCATCGCAATCGCCATCAGGTCATCTGGTGAGATTATCTCTGTGGTTGGGGGCAACTATTTGAGGTACGTTGCTCTTAACCTTATCTACCCTCTTCGACACTTCTTACCGTGAAGTTGTGTTCCTTCTGGAAAGTCCTCTCATTGTGAGGTGTCGAGTGCGCTCAACCTTGAGAGTCGGCAATGTTCACGTGGAGCATCTGGGAGAAGATGGGCGGAGCTTTCTGAAGGGCCTTGGACGAAGCACTGGGTCACGATCACCATGCCAACCCACCGGGAGTAGAGCACGCATGCTTTGCTGCTTGTCCTTTGTTTGGCTTGCTGCGCTGTTAGATGGGTACTGAAGGGCAGGCCAGCCCTATGGGAGACGAGACCGGGCGTCTTTAAATAAGCACCGGAAGGGGAACCATTGGTTGTGATCGTCGTCCAGCTGCGACGTAAAATAATTCTTGGAGTCACTTGGGGGCGGACGTTAAATTGCCTCTGGATCGGCCAATGGTAGTAAGGCTCGCTGCACGCGAGGATAATCCAGTGCAGGGCTGGCCAGCTCAGCAGATACTCGAGGCACAAGGGTGGGCCGAACACACACCTTTTAGACAAGCAACGCTCTCCGGATCGCTCAGGGACGCTGACGTCAAGTGACATTCAGGGGAACTAAGGGAGGGGTAGATTTCAGGTGATAAGTTCGAGAAAATTCCATGCTGTCCTATCCACACAAATGATTCTATTTTTATGTTTTGATTAGTTAGATGTACAACCAATTGACATCTGACCGACAACATTAGTTAGAACTGTTTCTTGTTCATGGTGCTTCTGTTTGCGAACTAATCAAACTAAAAATAGTTTTATTTGTAGGAATCTGACTTACCTGTTTAGTCTCAAACATAGCCACCGATTACTTCATCGGTCTATATAGTATGATGCGGTAGGCATCAAGAGTGTCCTAGTGCAGACATTGTACAGTGATGTAGCTTATGAGTGACAGGGAGGTTCCACAACCGGACGACCGGACCTTGCGATCGGCTAGACGCCCGATTGCCCATTTAGAATTAGGACCAGAGGGCGACAGGTACTTGTTCCACCAGCGTAGGGAAAGGTTGCAGCAGCAGAGGAGGGCTAGAGCAACAGAGGCTAGCAGGGCCCTTGTAAGTGAGGCCACAGCTTCGGAAGCCATGGCCATCTCTGCGCTGCAGACTACTCAGGCCGGTAGTTCACGATCTGTAGGGTCAACGGTCGCACAAACCCAGAGTCAGTCCGTTGGTGTTATGGCAAGCCAGTCGTTGGTGTTGACACCCGAGGAGGTCGCCATACAGCGAGCTGCTGCTCGCGAGGCATAGCTACAGCAGGCTTTAGGAGAGATTAAGGCTGAGAAAGAGAGAATGATTAGGAGAAGAGCCAGGATGCAAAGGAGAGAAACGGACGTTAGTGAGTTAGAGGAGATGAACCCTGCAGAGATGGATGATGATTTGAGAACCATACGGTCGGTCCTGTTAAGTGTAGTGGAGGTGGACGATCACCAGACGAACATCTTACAGGACGTCCAACAGAGTCTGGCTATGTTAGTCGGGCGGATGCAAGCGACTTCATCACCGTCCAGGCTAGGTGCCTGGCCCGTTGCACATCCTCCTTTTGTCCCACCGGTAACTGGGGTATCCCCATATGTAGCCCCATCATCGGTTGCTATCGTTTCCCTGGGCATGCCGTTATCAGGAGGGCTCTCAGCAGGTCCAAGTTTGCAGATTCCTGTACAGTCAGTGGTCACTCAGACACCGTCTCAGGTTGCAGTCAGTGTGCAGCCTCTTGTCTCGCAATCTGTATAGTCACAGGGTACTCAGCCCCTGCAGTCAGTACAGCAACCTGTTTCACCGGGTCCACAGTTCGGAGTGATGCAGGGACCGGGACAAACACAGTGGGTGCCAAAGACGACCATCGCCGCTCCGAAACCCTTCACAAGGGATAAAAGAGGTGAAGAGCTCGACACGTGGTTGAGGGCAGTGCCAGTCTATGTTAGGTGTAAACTTACCTTGCCGCACGAAGAAGTGCTTGTGGCTGCCTCCTACCTAGAGGGTAGTGCAGCAAGATGGTTGAGTGGTTTAGTGCAGCTCCAGGGGTATGGTCATGACTTCCGCGCTTGGGCGGTCAACCAGAAATTGGACGACTTCCTTAAGCTGGTGGAGGAAAGGTGGCATGATCCTCAGGAGGCCCAAGGGGCCACTGATGCAATCCTGACACTGGACACGCGGCAGTTCAAGTCAGTAAGGGAAGCCACCGACGCAGTTGAGCGTCTGATCTGTGTCCCAAGGGTACGCTATGACCCCCAGGTTCTACTCACCTCCTACCTGAGATGCTTCTCTTTGCCTCTCAGGAACCAGTTGGCAGGTGAGGCCAACATCAATATGCACAACTTTCCTTCGTTTAGCAAGAAGGCCCTAGACCTTGAGGCAAAGATAGGGCATGGACAGGCACCCACTACAGACGGAAGGAGGAAGACACTGCCTCCTAACCGGAAGGCGAAGGGGCGCATAATGTTTGTCGATAACGATGGTTCCACCATCGAGCTAGACGACAACTTCCAGGAGGGAGTAGGTTCAGAGGCGGGCAGCGTAGAAGCTTCAGGGGGTGGAGTAGTCGCTGCCGTAACTCAGAAAGGTAGGGCGTCCGGTAGACTCCGTGGAGGTTCACGATCGAGGAGTCGAGTTGACCCCAATGCTCCTCCATGGGAGAAAGCGGGTCTTACAGAGGACGTGTGGAGAGACCGGTACACCCGGTAAGCTTGTATTCGTTGTCGCCAATATGGCCATAACCAATTCAAGTGCCGAAACAAGAAGGTGCCCAAGAACCTGCCTACGGTGGGGCAGGCGTTAGGATCCTCCCATCCCGGAGGTAGCAATGTGGCCAGCACTTCAGGCACTGCTCCAGGAAACACGTCGGGCCAGTAGGAATAGTAGTTGTTCCTGCTAGGGTCGAGGTGGTGCAGGCATCCTCACCATCTCGAGAGATGGCCCAAGCTACTGACTCCAGCGTCGTCCCGCAGACACATTCGGACCCATCGAGCCTCTGTTCGATGAATGTGTTCGAGTCCTTAGAGGAGCTAGAGGAGGAGTGGTCTAGAGCAGACCCACTAGCTTCTTGGACGGCCCTAGTCAAAGCCCCGAAGGGTGAGATGTTCGTCAGCAAGGTTGTCATTGGCGGCCGCAAGGCCGGGGCCTATTACGACACTTGCTCGACTAGGAACTTTATAAGTCGCGCGTGTGTTGAGAGGCTGCGCTTACAGGGGCAAGTGCAGCGCCCGAGTCGCCCTGTGGAGTCGACCTGTGCCAACAAACAGCGCATGGTAGTCAACGACTACCTCCAAGATGTGGAGTGTTGTTTTCCGTATGCGGGAGGGGAACTGAGACACCACGTCTCGTTCCTAGTGAGCGATGACCTCCCCATGGACATGTTGTTAGGTATGTACTACCTCTCTGTGGCACAGCCCCAGTTTGAATGGGACAGAAAAGTGGTCAAACACACTCTGCCAGGTGGAGGGACCGCCATATTACATAAGTTCAAAGCTAGTAGTCTGATCGAGTCCTATGGGTGCATGTGTGCGACCGCGTTCTATAACTATTATAAGCAAAATCAGGAGGAGGGTTATGTACTTAGTTTATGTCTCTGCTGCAGGCGAGCCGGTGAAAATGCCGCCGGAGATAGAGGGAGTAGTTGCCAAGTACCTTGATCTATTTGAAGAGCCGACAGGGGTTGTAGAGAGGGGGGTCGTCCACACGATAGAGATTATGTTCATTAATGGGACGGAAAGAAAGAAAGAAAGAAAGAAAGAAAGAAAGCGGCAAGCCACTCACGTTGCGTCTACTTTCAATTCTAATTTGCTGGATTGATCAATGTTGAGGCTTTCTTTTACATATGTATTGTATGGTCGGTCTTGTGAAGTTCAAACTCTTACAGTGGGTAGAACGCAAAGTAAGATAAGCGATTGATTACATAATCGAGCAAAGAAGGAAAAAAAACTTATGCTCCGTGAGGTTTCAGTAAGCTAGAGCAATCAATGAATTCAATCCCACCGGGCCATCGTCAATTTTCAATTCCCATTAGCTAAGGGTTCAGTCTAGATAAGAGCTGGGATGGTTGGATTTGGCCGGCGGCGTATTATCTTGTTTACTTACCCACTCTCTAGACTCAATTATATCTGGAGAGAGAAAGAAGAAAGTCCATCTCTTGTGGCACTTAGGACGTGCATTGACTATAGGGGCCTCAATGCCATCACTGTTAAGAACAAAGAGCCCCTACCACGCATCGATGATCTGTTAGATAGAGTGCAAGGGTGTCGGTACTTCAGTAAGATAGATCTGAAGTCCGGGTACCATCAGATTGCAATCCGGCCCGAGGATCAACACAAAACCGCTTTTCAGACCAGGTACGGTCTATACGAGTTTGTGGTGATGCCTTTTGGCCTTTGCAATGCTCCTGGTACCTTTCAGCACGCTATGAATCGGATATTCCATGACCACTTGGATAAGTTTATCATCGTGTACCTCGATGACATACTTATTTTTAGTAAGACTGTCGAGGAGCATGTTGCACATTTGGACAAAATCATCAGCCTCCTGCGACAGCACAAGTTCAAGATCAACGGTGAGAAGTGCAAGTTTGGCCGCACCCGTGTCTTGTACTTGGGCCATGAAATATCCGTGGAAGGGTTAAAACCCGATGACGCGAAGGTGGCCAGCATTCGTGATTGGCCACGTCCTCAGTCTGTGACTGAGATGAGATCTTCCTTAGGAATGACAGGCTACTATAGGACTTTCGTTAAGAACTATAGCATAGTGGCCGCTCCTTTGACTGATCTGACCCGCCTTGACACCCCATGGGAGTGGGCAGATGAGTGCGAGGCTGCTTTAAGACATCTGAAGCATGCGTTGACGCACTACGAGGTCTTAAAACTCCCTGATCCTGACAAGCCGTTCGTAGTTACCACGGATGCCAGCCAATACGCCATTGGCGCCGTGCTCGCACAGCAGGAGGGGCCAAAGTTGAGGCCAGTCGAGTACATGTCTAAGAAAATGGCGTTTCAGAAGTTGGCAAAGTCAACCTATGAGAAGGAACTCTATGCGGTGTACAAGGCACTGACCCATTGAAGGCACTATCTCCTTGGGAGGTTCTTCATCCTCAGGACTGATCATCAGACACTGAGATGGATGAGAACTCAGCCGGTACTTTCTGATGCTATGAAGCGTTGGATCGAAGTCATTGAGCAGTATGACTTCGACCCTCAGTATCTGAAAGGGGAGTACAACAAGGTTGCTAATGCCTTGTCGCGTAGACCTGACTTCTCATGTGCGCTAATTACTGAGTTCGATCTGACAGACGATTTTACTCGCTCTTTGGTGGAAGCCTATCGAGAGGACCAGTTTATGTCTGAGATCATACGCAGACTAGAGGTGAAGGACAAAAAGACCTCTGTCGAGTTTGAGTTGGTCAACGGTTTGCTGTTCCTTGAGAAGGCAGGGAATAAACGTTTGTGTGTCCCGAATAGAGAGTCTTTGCGTAGTTTGTTTTTAGGCGAGTGTCATGACGCCACCGCCCATTTTGGGTATAAGAAGACCGCAACTAATTTGCTGCAGCGGTTTTGGTGGCCCACGATGATACGAGATGCCCAGCTGTACGTGGAGACTTGTCAAGTCTGTCAGAGAGACAAGCCACGTACGCAGGCTCCTCTTGGGCTCTTGAAGCCCCTTCCGATTCCAGAAAGGCCAGGTGAAAGTTTATCCATGGACTTCATGGATACGCTGGTCACCAACAAGAGTGGGATGAGACACATCTTCATTATCACGGATAGGTTTAGTAAGTATGCTAGGTTAGTAGCCATGTCGGAAACTGCGAAGACCGAGTACGTCATCAGATTGTTTAAGGAGAACTGGGTCAGAGATTTTGGTTTACCCAAATCCATAGTGAGTGACAGGGATGTCTGATTCACTAGCGAGTTGTGGAAGGCCGCTGCTGCGGAGCAGGGAACTCAGTTGCAGATGACTTCTGGGAATCACCCAGAGGCCAACGGTCAGGCCGAGCAGCTGAGTTGTACAACACCTGTTGAGGCATTACATCAAGCCCAACCAGGTGGACTGGGATGAGAAGCTTGCCCTTATTGCCAGCTTGTACAACAACGCTGTACACAACGCCACCGGGGTGAGTCCAAACAGCTTACTGCTAACTTTCAAGCCTAGACTGCCCTTGGACTTTCTTCTTCCTGAGAATCAGTCCACTGCTGCACCAGGTACCTTAGAATTTGCTTATCGTTATGAACAGAAGATGCAGCAGGCTGTAGAACAGATGCAGCAACATCGCCCACTTCGTGGAGAAAGGGGCCAAGGCACATGCTGCAATGATAGAGTCTGAAAATAGACACTGTCGTCCTTCTACGTTTCAGGTTGGGGACATAGTTTGGGTTAAGTCTTCTTCACTAGGACAGGAGCACGGGATTTCCCGCAAACTCATGCCCTAGGACTTTGGCCCTTGGGAAGTCTTGGACATCGTTGGGACAGATCCGGATGGGCCATCTTATGTTATCCGGATCCCTGGTCATCTCCGAACTTACCCTGTCTTTCACGCCTCCAAGCTTGCACCTTTCCAGGAAACAGATGAGTTTCCTTCTCGTCGCTCAATGCTGGCCCCAACCATGGATGGAGAAGTGGACATTGATGACATCGTGGATCACGGGGCGCTGCCAGTTCAGAGACCTACAGGTAGGGGACGTCCTCCGAAACCGAAGTTGCAGTACCGCGTTCGGTTCCGACATCATACTAATCCCAAGGAGGGCTGCTGGTTCACGAGGGAAGAACTCATGCAGACCGCTCCTCAAGTTGTAGCTCACTATGAGAAATCTCTGCAGAAAGGAAAGCGCCCGATGGTCGACGACTGAGCTTCTCAGAGGACTGTTGAAGCTAAGGAGGAGGGAATGCAAGGCCACTGCCTCTATGAGCCCCTTTCGGCCCCTCTTTTGCAGTCCGTCGGCCGCCCTAAGTGAAGAGGCTCGACGAGGCCTTCAGGGCCGTATTTCGGCCTCTGCGCAACTAAGGAAATTCAGGCAGTTGCGCAGCGCCAGTTGGTTGAGGAAACCCTGGCCCTGGGCTGCCTGTGCGAATGAATGGAAAGCAGGCCCTGGGCTGGATACGGGTACTGGGCCAAACACATGNGAAAGCAGGCCCTGGGCTGGATACGGGTACTGGGCCAAACACATGCCAAAGGCAGTTGGGCACATGCAACTACCGCAGGCCCCAGGCCTGTTCTCTATCGTGCTGGGCCTCAGGCTATCGGGGCCTACTGGAAGCTTCCTGGGACTACACAGGCAGGCCACTTCGATATCGCAAAGGGCATGCCTCCTCATTCGGTATTCCGGTGCTGGCTGCATGTTGCGCTATTTGCTGGCTGGCGCCCACGAGCTCACGGGCGAGCAGGGAAGGAGCAGGCAGCCATAGCCGAGCTGCGCTACTATGAGCTGGGTGTGGCACAGGGTGGTCCTTGGATGCAAGTGGCATCTGTATGTTGGGGAACGAGGTTGTGAGTAAGGCGAGAGACATACCTGGTGCTGGAAGCGTGCGACATTGGTTGTTGTATGCTCGTACTTCGGGAGAGTTGTTGTCGCCAGATAGGATATCAACTCTGGTTGTTCGTTGATGATGATGATGGGACTATTTCAGCGTTGTCAATTATGAACTCTTGGTGTGCTCTTATTCGGTGAAACTCGTGATGCAATTCTGTTGTTGGTTCCAGGTCACGATTATTTGAACTCACATGTATGATGCTGTTTGATTGCTGAAGTTCGCTATTGCTCATCTTCCTTCCAAATACAATAAGAAGCACACATAAAATGATAACCAAATAAAACTGCCACAGAAACAATATACATATATACCACATATACGTAAAGCGTAGGCCTCTCTTCGAATTAGCCAAACCACTAGCCAAGTAACCACTACGGACACAGTACTAATCACAGTACCTATCGTATCCCAACTCAACCCTAGCTCAAGGAAGGACTTATACAGTTAAACCCCTCACTTCGAGCTCATGAGTCACCCCCTAATCTATGTCACTCGCGTACCAGAAGCCTCCTCTAAAGCAAGGTTCTACTGACTAGGGGAGGACGTCTCAGCTTAACTTAATTACCTCCCAAAGCAGGCTTAGCACAACACTCACGTAATGAGTGTACTAGCAGTGGCGCATTAACAGTTATTAACAGAGCTTACTTCAACAATGGACACACCCAGTAAATGTTGATGCCGCCATACTCGACCTAAGCCGCATCACATATGCAAGGCATCGACCAATCACCCCAAAATACTCAGAATAAGAATATGGTCGTTGAAGTCATTATCTTAAGTGCCAAGGTACACAAGTGTATCACCAAACACTTCCTTTCTCAATCATTCCATATACGCTATAATCACCATCATCAATAAGACACTCAAATAGTCATTTTGCCTAGATCATCAACCTTCCAATAACCTGAGTTCGTTCACTTAAGGACCGCGATAGGGAACCAAGATCCCCGACAACAGCGCCACCTGTCGAGCGCATGGGTCCCGCAGTGGGACCCTCCCGCCCGTGTCACACAGGATTTTGCAGGACTTTGTCGTAAAGCCATGCGCTCCGGCCGAGTGCGCCAGCCATACCTCTCGCGAACCCCTACGATAGGATAGGGCCACGTGAGGTACAACTGACCTCCACCTACAGAAGTTGTCACCATCCCTTAGGTGGGCGTATTCCCGCCGAGCTACCGAACCACATGCAAAAGTTTTTCGTATGCAATTGCAGAAGTTGCCCGACCGAGGGTGTTTGTCGTTCACTATAGCAAAGGGGGTACGCGCGGTTAACGCCAAAATCGAACCCGTGCACGAATCGTCGTTTGAGGCGCCGATCTCTCGAACGCGACCTACACCGGTCGACTAGGATGGTCAAGTCTACCCACGCGATACATCTCGCCAAAATCATAAAATCAAATTACTCACACAAACACTCTTAGTCCCTTTATGTATCCGACCCATAATCTTCCCAACACCGACTAAGTTAGGTGCTGCGCGCGAGACTCGAATAAATATCGCGCGAATGCAGACTTACTCATATCGACTAGCCATGCCTGAATACGCAAGCAGTCGCAACAATGGCCTATTATGTAATACCCATGATCGCGTGGCCCTCAATGGTCTCGAGGGTCACTTTCGACACTCGAGTGTCGGCTGACACATGCCTAGAGGGGTTGATCTCTCGACGTTAGACGAGCTCCCTCACCCGAGGCCTGCAACCAGGTCAAGGGGTTTGACTTTGACGGCCGCCATCGACTTCAACGTCCAACTATAAACATTAACAAGCAAAATCAATCACAAAATAAACAAACATCCAAATATCCACATTAAAATCAGAACTCGAAATATGATAAAAGGGGGAAAGATAAACCCGTAAGGTATGCAGATCGCGCGACACATGACTATCATTCTCACTGCCTCCAAAGTAAGACTCGTACACAAGCTCCGAATACCAACCTGCATGAAGCACAAACCTATACGAAAGCCACATCGCCATACACCAACGTTTTCAACTATACTATTCCCTGCAACTCACACCACGCCTCACACACTTGAGCCCCAACCACTTTCCAACTTTCCATTAAAACCCATCAGTTCTTTATAATGTTATGACCCTGGCCAATTTCGAGATACACGTCCTCCATAAAGTACAATGCCATCCAATTGCAGAAAGAAATGAATGAACTTGAGAGGAGAGAGAGAGGATTAGAAGAAGAAGAAGAAGTAAGAAAGAAGAAGAAAAAGATGTACACCAGCAAAAACAATGACAAGGCTCTTCTTCTTCGCCCAACAACCTCCTCCTCCTTATCTCCCTCTTCTCTTATTCATACAAGAAATAATAATACAATGTTGAATGACTGGTCCAGAAGTCCAGAATCAATGTCCGAGTCCCTCTTCTACTGCAGGTATCACTCAAGGTCCACCATAGCCATGGCCGCCTCTCCCACTCTTCACTCTCATAGGCCGAGGCTATGGCGAACTACTAGGCCTTGCCCAGATGCCCAAAGGATACTGCTCTTAGCTCAGGCCGCCATGCCCAACCCTGCCTTGAAGCTTCTTGGTGTGGCTCTCCCCGGCTGGGGACTCCTTGCTGCAGCGCCCACCAAGGTCATGAAGATGGCTGCCACCATAGCTAGGTAAGTACCCCTGGCGCTCCTCCCCCTTCCTTCCTCCTTCCTCCCTCATGTCCTTCTCCTTCCTCCCCAGCAGCGCTGCTCCAGCCAGCGCTCCACCACTGTTTCGCCAAACTTGCACACCGAAAAAGAGGCCGGGTCTTCCGCCCGCCCTGAAGATATAGCGGCCTGCTTTGCCTCTTGGGCGGTGACTTCCAAGCCGCTGGCCTTCCCAAGCAACCGGTACCTCCTCTTTTGGAGGGAAACATCATTGTAGACTCTGATATTGCCCCTACAGGCCCTAGACTCGGACTGGTACCCGCTAGACCTAGCCTACACTACCGGCCTCTAAAAATGCCACTTTTGTCTTCTTCTGCTCTGCCTCCGGTACCTGCATATTCACCCTCCTGCCGGGTGCGGTACCGGCCTACCCGCTACTTGAGTGTTTTTTCCCCGTTGCAATCCTTCAAAGCCACGGCCACAGGTAAGTACCGGCCCTGAGGGCCCAACGAACGAACAAGTGCTCTGGCGGGCCACACACACACTCATACCAACCAGCACTCAGACAGGCACAGTCACACGCACGCAAGCCAACCAGCACTTAGACAGACATGCAGTCCAGCGAGCACACACACACTCAGACTTAGCAAGCGGGAACTCAGTAGGGCATTCAGTCTATGAGCAAAACTCAGAAATCAGTTGTGTGTTTCAGTCCATGTTTGGATGGGTTATCACACTACCCCCCCCTCAAGAGCGAGGTCCCTTCAAGCGAGTAACTCATTCTGAGTCCTCGGCAAACGCATCGTAGGCGAGCAAGGCAAAGAGATTCCTGGAATACTCTGTCGCAGTGAGCCTTGCTGAGATCTTTGGTGCGGCGTTAGCAGCGTTTGTCGCTCGTAAGCCTTAACGACGCGCGGTGCGCTGCGTAGCAGTTCCTGTTTGGAGATCCAGTACACATCCTCTAACGGGTGATACATAAAATGAACCTAGTACTGTCTGTTTCTCCCCTTATCTACATGCTGTTTGATTCTATCTATCTCATGCCCGCACTCGATTGCGCGAGGGATCATATCTTCGCGGTAATCAAATGTCTTGGCATCACGGTGGAGATACAATTTAGATGCATGGAACACGGGATATGTGCGCAGGTGAGCTGGCACGTCTACAACGTACGAAGGGCCAAAGTGATCTTCCCCAATTACATTCAAAACTTCCCAAGGCCCGTAGTACAGTGGGAGTAGTTTGCGTGAGACTCCCTCCTCCTCTGAGAATTCAGACATCTTCACCCAGACATAGCTTCCTACCTGAATCTCCGACGGTCGGCGCTTTTTGTTCACATGGTGGATCATGGCATGCTGTCACTTGGCCATAGCTGCAATAGCAACTTTGAGCAAGCGATCATACTTAGCCCTGAAGCCGGGTCTGTCGGGTGTTAAGCCAGCTGGCTGCTCAGGGAATAAGTAGGAGAGCGGATTACGGATCTGCCAACCATAATGCAACATGTTGGGTGTCATGGCAGTGGCAGAATGGACGGAATTGTTGTACAACCCCTTAACAGAATACAGCTCCTCATCCCATGTCTCCTGGTCTGGAATAATCAACGCGCGGAGAAGTTGAAATACAGTCTGGTTGATCTCCTCAGCCAAACCGTTGGCTTCGGGGTGTCGGTCAGATGTCATGCACAATTTGATTCCTAGGTGAGACGTGAAACCCTTCCATTTAGTGCTAATGAAACGCGGATCCCGATCACTCACAAGAGTCTTTGGGGTTTCGAATTGCAAAATGTATTTCTGTTGGAATTCACGAATCACTAGATATGTTGGGGCGTGGGGCGCCAAAGGGATCAGGTTAAGAAATTTCAAAAATCGGTCAACAATCACCATGACTTGTGAATAACCGTTTTTGCTTACCTTACCCATGTCAGTGAAGTCGATGGAGACAGACTCTCCGGGACCATCGGGAATGGGTAGGGGTGTGAGTAGCCCCATGGGCTTTTGTCTGCATGGTTTGATCCGTTGACAGGTTTGACATTCAGCCACAAACTTCTCAACAGTCCCTTTCATGCCAGGCCAATCAAACTGTCTCAGCAAATTAGCGTACATTTTTGCCATGCCGAAGTGCCCGCTCCAGCCATAAGCCAAATCCAAAAAGTGTGTGCGGAGAGGCTCATGGTTGGGCACACACAAACGGTCATGGTTCCCGTAGCGGCGGAAGATCAGTCCCTCAAACTCGTGAAAATCAGGCTGACCGCCTGGATCAGCCCGTAGCCGCTCAAGGATGGGACTGAGTTCCGCATCCTTGGCGGTGTGCTCAACAAGTTCCTCCTTCAGTTTCTTCCGGAGGTCGTAGGACTTAACAAGGCAAGTCATGTACTGTGGGTGGCGAGACAAAGCATTAGCTACTCGGTTATAATAACCTTTCTTATGCCTTATTTTAAAATCAAAAATGTCAATCTCGTGGAACCAGCGAAGCAAGGTAGGGGACAGGGTAGTTTGCTGTTTGATCCACTTCAGGGTCCCGTGATTTGAGAAGACCTTGAAATGGCGTCCCAAAAGGTAGTGCTTCTAGTGATCCAATGCCATGCACAAGGCATAAAGCTCGCGCATGTAAGTGGAAGTGGCTACCTTGACGTTGGGCATGCGTTTGCTGTAATATTCAAGTGGGCATAGGCCGTCGCCGTCGTCTTGCTGCAGCATTGCACCGATTCCATACTGGCTCGCATCCGTAGTGACTACGAACGCCAGTTTGGGATCTGCAATGCGGACTGGGTAACTTACCAAGGTTTCCTCAAGAGCTCGAAAAGCTTCTGTACACGTGGCATCCCAGGAACAAGGCACATTTTTACTGGTTAGTCGCGACAATGGACGAGCAATGATAGAAAAACGGGGTACAAACTTCCGATAATACGACGCAAGACCAAGGAAAGAACGCAATCCGCGAATGTTCGCAGGCTAAGGCCAATCGCGTATGACCTCAATTTTGGTTGCTTCAGGCTCTAGGCCTGCAGCAGACAACGGATGCCCAAGATAGATGACGCTATCCTTCCCAAACTCAGATTTCTCCAAGTTGAGATGGAGTTGCGTCTTCTTGAGGATAGCGAGCACCTCCTCAAGATGCTTGAGGTGTTCCTCGATGGACTTGCTGAAGATCAGAATATCATCCAGCTACACTACCACAAACCGGCCAATTTGTTCGCGGAGGACCTTGTCCATGAGACTTTGGAAAGTGGCTGGCGCGTTCGTGAGACCGAAGGGCATTACTGTGAACTCATAAAGCCCGTCGCGTGTTTTGAACGCAGTCTTGTGCTGGTCCGCAGGATCGACTTCAATCTGGTGGTAGCCAGACTTGAGATCGATCTTGGAGAAGACCTGGCGCCCACCCGCGGCGTCAAGCAGGTGATCTATGCGGGGCAAAGGGTAGGTGTTCTTTCTTGTGATGCGGTTTAGACCGCAGTAATCAATACACATGCGGAGTTTGCCTCCCTTTTTAGACACGAACAAAACATGAGCACCAAATTCTGACTCACTAGGCTTGATCCACCCCTTATCAATCATTTCATCGATCTGCTGCCGGAGTTCTTACACACAGCCCTTTGGAGGAACAACACCCTCAACCAACTCGATGGTGTGTCGGACCGATCGCGTGGGGACTCCCCGTGGCTTGGCCAGTACTTCCGAAAACTGATCGAGGAGGTTTTGGATGTCTGGTGGGACCGGTGGGGGTGGGGGATCAGCAAAAGGATCACCTAGATCCGGTCGTAGGTCACATTTCGAGACGACCGAATCAACAGTGGGATCATTTGGACCATCACAAGGTGGAGAAATAAAGGTAGTAGCAGTGATAGTATTAGAAGTAGGATTACTAGTTGAAGTAGTAGTTGAACTTACCGTAAAAGTAGAAGGCACATGGGCAGGACGAACAAAAGCAACATACGACTGCTCGTCCTCCTTCTGTTGGCGCCATTTCTTGCAGAACTTCAACGCATTTAGAAAAGTCACTAGGGATTCGCGCTTCTCATCCAAGAGGACAAGAAGCTCGTTCCCCTGAGCATCTTTGACCATGAAGAGTGACTCCTTCCACTTGGTCCATTCGCATTGGGACTGCAGCCAGCCCAAGCCAAGGACAGCGTCGAAGGGGCACTTGTCAAGGACAAAGAAGTTCAATGAGTGGGTGACAGTCTTGCCTTTGTCAAAGGTAGTGCACACACCTTTGACTGCATGCATGGAATAGAACTTCCTTGTTGCCAACTTGGGTTCGACAAGGGTTCTGCAAGGCCACTTGCTTCATCCCCAAGCCCACCTTGCGTATCCCGTGTGGTGCCATGAAATTAGCCGTAGCACCACAGTCAACCGCAACAAGGAGATAGCGGTGGTTTATGAGGAGTTTGAAGAAAATCAACCTTCACGTCCCTTGGGCGCGCTGCTGTTTCATCTCAGCCCAATGCTCCAAGTGGTAGTGAAAGTCGATTGCCCCAGACTCCTCCCAAGGCTCATCATACAAAACATTGCTTACCTTAGCCTTGTCTTCAGCAGATGGTTGGGCTTCAAGGGGGGGATGCTGATTTGCAATAGATTCTTTCTCCCCTGCTGTAGAGTTTGTTGAATTTGACTCTACACCCGGTTTTGGTTTCCCTGCAGCCTGTAACAGTCTTGGACCTTATGGTATGGTTTTTGGCAATGCAGGCAAACCCTTTTCTTGAGTCTGCCCTGCCAGTCATTCTCAGTAACCCAAAGATCTACCCAAGGTTTGTTAGACGCATCCTCCGGTTTAGGCGGGATCTTGACTCCTTTGGGAAGTTGGACATAATTCTTCCCGACACTTCGATTCGGTCCCTTGGTGCTGCCAGTCTGTTTAAAGGCAGAAAATTGTTCTTCTTCTTTATTTGCATCGGACTCATGGGCTGAAGAACATGCTGTATCAGAGTCCTGTTCTTGGTCATCACCAAGAGTGGGGTCATCCGCATCGACTTCTTCTTCGGCCTCCAGCAGGTCATGCACAGCAAAACGGCTGCTGCCCTTGAACCGTCTGCCGCCCATGGGCTTTTCGCTGCTTGTCGTGCTAACGAGGTCTACAGCCTCCAAACTAACTATGTCCTTCATTAAGGTGAGCCAGTCAATGTATGCAATGTAGTCCCTGCCCAGGCCATTAGTGAAGTTAATTGGAACCGCACCCTTAACCACGTCTAAGCAAGACTGAGCAGTCAATTCCAAACCAGGACTAGCGAACATCTTGCTAAGATAGGTTTGCAGGCTTTTCATCGAGCTTGTCCACTTGCTGCGCTTGACTTTGTCAAGTTGGATTCTTGCCCTAGCCGTAGCATGTGGATCATAATATTGTGAAATAAGGAGATCCTCGAGGGAGGCAACCGGGGTGGTCCTAAGCCATTTGGCTAGAGCAGTCTTTTGGAACCCAGCCCGTGTCGCTTGGACTTCTAGGAAGCCCCGTACGACCGACTCGATGTTCATTCCCATGATCAATGCCTGGGTCTCAGGTTGAGTTCCCAGAATCTCAAAGTAGGCCCTCATGGAGCCGATCCAGGACTCGATGTCTTCCTTGCCGTCGTACTTAGATGGCATTTGTACCGCCTTTCGGTCCACATAGGGACCGACGTAGCTGGGACCAGCACCTACTGATTCCAACCTCGGGGCTGCAGCAGTTGCAGAATTCCCGGCCTCATCGCTGGCCACGACAACAGCGGAATTTGCACCTGTTGCAGGTCGCAAGGGGGTTGCCAACACATTCAAGGAAGAAGATACGGTGAGAGAGGCAGAAGTAGTCCCGATCGCAGCCTTGGACCCAGGGGGTAGAGGGAGAGGATTGGCCACTTGGGCATGTCGCAGCCCAACCACCTCTTGTGTCAACTCTTGGTACTTGAGGGTCATATCAGCCAGGTCGTCCTGAAGTTTTCGCAATTTTGCGAAAACGTCAGCGATCTGAGTGTTATGATCTTCAATATTCCGAACTTGAACAAGGGCGGTGAGTATAGTTTGCAGTTGTTCCCCACACCGCACTTCCGTCAGTGAGGGAACATTTTCCAAGATGGCCACTTGACTCTTCAATAATGACTCTTTCCTCTCCTTCTCTGCCTCCTGTTCCTTCTTGATGGCGTTATCCAGGAGTGCTTGCAGATGTGGTTTTTCTGCATCACTAGCTGCGTCTAACATGGCCCGCCATTAGACTGAAGTTAGCTAAGCCATTCTTGGACCGTTACTGGTGATAGGTGGGTCAGAGAGTCGCCAATCAGCAAAAGAATCAATAAGACTCTCAAGAGGTTCACTCCCCCGCTCTCTTAGATGAACACTCCTCTCCCCAGTCCTTGCCCACTCCAAACGATCACTCTCTCTCCCTTCTCTCTCTCTCTTCTTTTTGACGGTGGGTCTCCACGGGCATCGAAAATGAATACAGAAAAAAAACTTGAAAGCTTAGAGAAGAGAAGGTAGAACTCCTAGCCGGAGCGGCATTTCATTTGGAAGTAGAGAGCAGCAGAATCAAAAAGAAACAAACAACTCAATGAGAGGTCTGATCCAACGACCCAGTTTGATCAGACTGCATACGAGGTCCTCTCGAGTCCAGTCTAACCAGCTCCGTGGCGGTACAGCAAATCAAACAACGAGTAACTAAATGCAACAATGGAGAATTGAGTGGTGTACAGGGTGCGAGTCAAGACACAGACAATGCAATCAGAAGACATGCGAAACGTCTCAGCCAAGATCCCCTAAGCAGTAGGTGTCATAATCCAAGAAGAATGAACTCGTATCCCAGCCAAGAAGACAAGAGGTCAATGCCTAACCGATTTGGGTCCAGAGGCTCTTCTTGTTTGGGCCCGGTCCCGCTGGGTCCCAAAGGTCCCACGTAGGTCTCAACCACGTCCCAACCAAGAGGAGTTCCACATGAACTTAGTTCAGTCTCTACTGCACTGAAAAATAAAATTTCAACTTCTGGCAGAACCTACAGACTACAACCGTTCAGAGATGAAAAGACAAAGCACTGTAGAAAGACTTAGCATTTAGATCAAGATACTTCATTTTCCATCCATCAGGTGAGTAGGGTCTCATGTGGTCCTCCTGACCCCTCTAGCGCTACCCCTACACTAGTGTCCTATCTCCTAGGAGGGTCTGACTCCAACACCCAAGTGCAACGCCGGATCCCCCATCGCCTACTTGAGGGCAACCCTTAAGTTGCCAAGTGTCTCCCTTGAATCAGATTCCAGGTGCGAGTGCCTCCCACTGTCGCCTCTCTCAATCGCCGCATGAAGTCTCCTCGAAATGTCTCGCCACCCTAATCTCACTCTCAAGCAACCTGGTTAGGCTTTATGTCGACCCCACATGACCTAACTAGGTGGGGGCAGCTTCCCTTAGCCAGACTGCCCCACTTCCCTCAACCAACCAACCCTAATCCTAAGCGGTGCCCTCAACCACGTAGGTTAGGGTTAGGGCAGCAAAGTCAACTCTCACCAGCAAGTAGAATCCGCTCCGATACCAATGTTATGACCCTGGCCAATTTCGAGATACACATCCTCCCCAAATTACAATGCCATCCAATTGCAGAAAGAAATGAATGAACTTAAGAGGAGAGAGAGAGGATTAGAAGAAGGAGAAGAAGTAAGAAAGAAGAAGAAGAAGATGTACACCATCAAAGACAATGACAAGGCTCTTCTTCTTTGCCCAACAACCTCCTCCTCCTTATCTCCCTCTTCTCTTATTCATACAAGAAATAATAATACAATGTTGAATGACTGGTCCAGAATCAATGTCTGAGTCCCTCTTCTACTGCACTCTCATAGGCCGAGGCTATGGCGGACTACTAGGCCTTGCCCAGATGCCCAAAGGACAACCCAAAGCAGCTATGGCTGCTCTAGCTAAGGCCGCCATGCCCAACCCTGCCTTGAAGCTTCTTGGTGTGGCTCTCCCCGGCTGGGGACTCCTTGTTGCAGCGCCCACCAAGGTGATGAAGATGGCTGCCACCATAGCCAGGTAAGTACCACTGGCGCTCCTCCTTTCTTCCTCCTTCCTCCTCCTTCCTCCCTCATGTCCTGCTCCTTCCTCCCTAGCAGCGCTGCTCCAGCTTAGCGCTGCTCCAGCTTAGCGCTGCTCCAGCCAGCGCTCCTCCAGTGTGTCGCCAAACTTGCACACCGAAAAAGAGGCCGGGTCTTCCGCCCGCCCTGAAGATATAGCGACCTGCTTTGCCTCTTGGGCGGTGAATTCCAGGCCGCTGGCCTTCCCAAGCAACCGGTACCTCCTCCTCTTTTGGAGGGAAATATCATTGCAGCCTCTGATATTGCCCCTACAGGCCCTAGACTCAGACTGGTACCCGGTAGACCTAGCCTACACTACCGGTCTCTAAAAACGCCACTTTTGTCTTCTTCTGCTCGGCCTTCGATACGTGCATATTCACCCCCCTGTCGGGTGCGGTACCGGCCTACCCCCTACTTGAGTGTTTTTTTCCCGCTGCAACCCTTCAAAGCCACGACCACAGGTAAGTACCGGCCCTGAGGGCCCAACGAACGAACAAGTGCCCTGGCGGACCACACACACATTCATACCAACCAGCACTCAGACAGGCACAGTCACACGCACGCAAGCCAACCAGCACTTAGACAGACACGCAGTCCAGCGAGCACACACACACACAGACTTAGCAGGTGGGAACTCATAAATCAGCGGTGTGTTTCAGTCCATGCTTGGACGGGTTATCACAACCCATTAAAAGAAGTACAGTTAAAACCCTCAAAGAAACACGTCAAATCTCAGGGTTAAGGCATCAAGTTGAGGTACAAGTGCAAGCAAAGTTGTGTCGTGAGCCGACGAATCGACAATCAACCAACCGACCTGTTACCAAAAGATAACAGAAGACTATCCTCGTAGGTCTTCAAAACTAAGAAAATTTCGGCAACGCTTCCCGTAGGAAAAGTGTCTTTTCATAATTTATATGAGACTAAATATAAAACTCATAAATAACTCCGATTTCATAGAGTCAAATTTTGTTTAACTCCCCATAGGAAAAGTAGCTTTCCAAAATTTTATAAAGAGCCAATTAAAATAAATGATCCCAAAAAATTTGAGAACTTGAACTAAGTAAAATGAACCGACTCCTATAGCTCCAGCACGTGGCGAGCACTAATGGACTCCCTACTAAGCATAAAAAATAGACAGAATTTGAACAAAAGACAAAGCATTACTAACAAGCATGTCATGTCAACAACTCTTTCAGCCAATTCAAGAAACAAGGGTCCGTTCATCCAAAGCTTTCATCTTCTGCTTGTCCTGATGCACAAGGACATGAGTCATGTATCTTATTTAGTTAATCTTTAACTTTCCAAGTTCTTCTCAGTCAACCCCATCCAATCACTACCACATTAGCCTGGACTTATTGTCACTAGGAAAAAAGTCCGACTTTTGTCGACAAGCGACCGGATCAATCGGGAGGACCTCAGATCCAGCCCCATTTCAAGCATTAAGCAAACGCACAAAGCGACCAGATCAGTCAGGAGGATCTCATCTCCAACCCCATTTCAATGTCTTGGGCAAACGAGCAAAGCGATCGGATCAATCAGAGGACCTCATCTCCAGCCCCATTTCAAAGTCTTATGCAAACAAGCAAAGCGACCAGATCAGTCACGAGGACCTCATCTCCAACCCCATTTCAATGTCTTAGGCAAACGAGCAAAGCAACCGGATCAGTGAGGAGGACCTCATCTCCAGCCCCATTTCAATGTCTTAGGCAAACAAGCAAAGAGACCGGATCAGTCAGGAGGACCAATATCTTAGGCAAACAAGCAAAGCAACCAGATTAGTCGGGAGGACCTCATTTCCAACCCCATTTCAATGTCACAGGCAAACAAGCAAAGCGATCGGATTAGCCAGGAGGACCTCATCTCCAACCCTATTTAAATGTCTTAGGCAAACAAGCAAAGCGACCAGACAATTCAGGATGACCTAATCTCCAATCCCATTTCATTGTCTTAGGCAAACAAGCAAAGCGACCAGATTAATCAGGAGGACCTCATCTCCTGCCCCATTTCAATGTCCAAGGAAAACAAGCAAAGTGACTGGATCAGTCAGGAGGACCTCATCTCCAACCCCATTCAAATCATCGCAAGCAGACATCGTACCATTTCAAGCAAACTGAAATTAAACAATCATAGTAAATTTGCTCTGTTTCAGTTAAAGTCTTGAATTAAAGCGCTGGCAACATTTCCTCCTCGGGCGTCGTAGGTTCAGTTGGGCAATCGATAACAACCCATTGACCTACTACAAGCCACAAAACATGGTGAGCAGCACGATTGCCTGATGGGTGTACTTCATCGACCAATTCGACTTCACACCAAAGCATATTTCAGGTATCCAACCGAGCCGCGGATGCTCTCTCACGAAGATCAGATCTTTGCGCAACAATTCACCACGTGTTCGACTTCAACAAACCTTCATCAGGACTTTGTGCATGCATACAAGTCGGATCCAGACTACGCCACTCTTTACTAGCAGCTTTCCTCAGATCACCTGCCGGCCGGCCACTCTCTCATCACCGACCGCTACTTGCTCCTTCATTTATCAGGCAAAGACTTACTATGCGTCCCACGAGAGTGTGGACTACGGACTCGCCTTCTCGGCGAGTACCACAACTCACGACTCGCCGACCACTTCGGAGTCAACTGTATAATCGCAAGACTTCGACAACGATTCCGTCTCGACCTTGCTACCGATGTCACCAGGTATTGCGAATCCTGCGAAGTTCGCCGGCGAAGCAGGCCTGTTTGGCGTTTCGGCGCCAAGGCGCCAGACACCGGCACCATTCGGCATTGGCAAGAGCGGCCTCCAGCCGAACCAGCACTATATATAGCTGGACCGCCTAGGAGGCAGGTAGGCATTCTTCAGGTAATAGCAGGAGTAGTCTACGATAGCAGTAGGGTACCAGCGCCAACATAGCACAACGTGCGCGAGAGAGAAAGAGAGGGAGAGGGGGGGGGGGGGGGGGCATTGCACTGGGCTATGGCGGAGGGTAGGGTACTTACCTGAGGACTCACCTGCCGGCGATAGCGCTCCAGCTTCATCGTCCGTGTGTCCGTACCTGCATCCAGGCGACACCTTTCGCATGTTATCCAACACACAGAGAGAGAGATCTTCTTCTTCTTCTTCTCCCTCCTCCAATCCATCACTCTTCTTCCTCTTCCCCTCCAACGCTCTGCCCTCTCCTCCGTCAGACTGTGTGTGTGTGTGTGTGTGTGTGTGTGTGTGTGTG